TGGGAAGCGTCCTCTTGGGCGAGGGGCGTCAGCCAGGCTGGCTTCTCCTCCGGTCCTGGCCCAGGAGGCTGGAGCTGCACGTCCAGGTGCCCCCTGCCCCCAGGGGCTCTGAGGGCACTGGGGAACCGGCCACGTTCCCTACGGGGGCCGCTGCCATGCACTGATGCACCGACGCGGGCAATAGCAGGCTGGTACGGCACCGAGGGCTGCGGTGGCAAAGCCGAGCGAGGCCGATAACCTCAGGGCTGGGGGGCGACCGGCACCAGAACGAGCACCGTGGTGGCGGAGAGCTGCCAGAGATCCGTGTTAATGCCAAACACAGAGACTCACGTTGAGTGTTAACGAGAGCAGACAGCGCGTATGCAATTAGTAATTACAAATGCCGACTCGGACACACGGCTGAGCGATCCGATGCAAGTTTTGGCCACACCAAACGTTTCCTTCGACAGCTTACGGATGGTGGTGGAGTTAGTTCAGAAAACGGTCCAGACCCAGGCTAAGGTTACGCAACTGGCCCCAGCTACCAAGGAAAAATCATCGTCTCTCCAGCAGCCGCACCACCAAAGCGTGGTCGCGGGCTTTGTCGTAGCTGCCAGGTAGGTGACAGCTTCTGCAAACCCCCTGGGGGCAAAAGGGGATGGGGCAGGAGCTTGTCTCGGCCAAAACACTGACTCTGGGGCGTACAGGGCTTGCTATGGCTCAAAGGGTTTAAGATTTTTTTTTTTCCCCCTGCTTCTCGCTACCCTGATGAGCCGGGGAAGCCGCCGCGCCAGTGCCACCCTCGGTACTGTCACCAAGGCTGCGCTTTAGCCGAGCGCGGCAGCAGCAGGGGCCTGAGGCTCCGTGCAAGCTCAGGTGCTTCTCGCACCCCCTCTAACGCTTCCGTGCCAGCTTCTGCCTGACCCGGGCCGCTTCCTTCCAGGGTTCCCTTCACACAGACGCCCTGGGCTTGGCTCCCTTCGCTCAGCCTCTTCCATCCAACAGAGGACGACGGACGATCAGGTCAGGCTGAAGCCTCGCTGGCGGCAGGGGAGGTGCTCCCGCGGCTCAGCGGGCTTCGCGTTATTTTGCCGAGCGCCTCGGCTGGTTTTTCTGTGCGAGGTGGAAAATCTCCCTGAGGGCTGGCCTGGGGATCTTTGAGCTTTTTTGTTTCTGACGGCCTGGAAGGACCCATTGAGACTTTTGTGGATGACCGAGCTGCTGCTAAACCCAAAGGACCAGAAAGGACACGTAAAGGGGAGGCAGAAACCCTGGGGCGCGCGTAGTCCGTCTGGCGGGCGGGCGCACGGTCTCCCCTTTCCTTTAAAGCAGCTTTGTCCTGGCCCTTCCGATCAACCGCTGATAGAAACAAGTGGTAAGAACAGAGCTTCCCAAAGCATTTACCTCTATGGATAGGTTCTGCAGGTGGTAAATATTCTGTAACCCTTGTGAGGTGAAATAGTCGATGCAGTTTGGACACCCCAATCCTGTTAAAAAACTGCAGAAAAAATTTGGAAAATAAAGCGGCGTTAACTTCTCGTGAACAAAAGCTGCGCTCGCAACCCTCGCTGTGGCGGCAAGCCCTGTCCCAGGGCGCTGGGGAGGCGGGGGCCGCA